CCAGTCATCAGTGGTCAAGTCTGAATCAAGTCAGACTCGGTCATATTTACCTTTAATCTACAGAATAAGTGTATACCCTATATTTATACAACATAATTCTTAATTGGTCAAATTACTTGACACACTGCAGGCAATTGGACCAAAGTCGATGCTGGTACAACTGAAGCCACTGGAGAGCAAATTATAATTCATAACTTTACTCACATGAGCATTACCTTAGATTTCCACGTAACTTGCACTCAGCCTGGGCTGCAGGACAATTTGCAGCTGTCACTTGATATGAGGGGTGCTGTTTAAATGGACAGAGAGTAAGCTTTTCCACTGAGCAGCCCAGCTCATCCTGAATAAATACTCTAAGTGTTGTCTGTCACTAGTTTCCACAGTGGTCATATGCAAACATCAGGCTTCAGGCAGCACAATCAACAGGCCACTGATTTGTAGTTTGGGGCCTTTTTGACACCTGTGTTAGATGACATAGTGAGATCACCTGTCTCACAACAGGCAGCCATTGCACACATTACTGTAGGCTGCCACCAAAATTATACATCCATCCATTAAGCACCAGTGTTTAAATACCTAAAGTACCTTATATTTGTGTAGCACTACAAACCAGTGACTTTTATACACTTCATAACCTTTAAAAGGTTCGAGAAGCTTTCTTCTAAATCAACTATCTTAAAATGAACACCTCAGAACTTCTGTAATACAAACACTGGTAGTTAAGCTCAGGAGTGCCACTTCCTGTTCCATTATTCAGGTCACAGTTCACTGAGAAAAACAGTGGCAACACCAGTAAGATGGTATGCTGCACACTGCCACTCATAGCAATATCTCAGGGGGACAAGTCCTCACAGTTGGCAGGGGCCCCTCTCTTGTGGCATGATTACTGAGCTGCCGCACAAGTTTTGGAGGGAAGACCAAAAAAATCTTCATAACACGAGAGAGACAGGAAGCTCTAGTGGCAGCAGCATTGCCGCCGTCCTGCCCTCCACCCACCTTCAGTTTTCTAGGTGGAGCTGTATAATCACTGAGGTTCAAATGCCCTCCACCCACCATGAGGTCTCTGGCCTCTCTCTATCTGTCATTACAATCAGGGACGCTCATGAATGTGGATTCTAAAGTCAATACAAAGCCCACTATATGACACAAAACTTAACAAATCAGACTGATAATTTGTTATAGCGTGGTGGGGACGTATAAATGAAACAACTTCACTTAGAATTAAATATACAAACATGAGCCATACATGGTCTTTCCTATGGATAACTCCTGTTAACTCCTGTTTTTCCAGGTCTGACCCTCATGCTTTACAGGGCGGGGATGTTAACACATGGCACTGTTTTCCATCCACTCGGCAGGAAATGCATCACAGTTCATTGTGGGGGAGACTGTTGTGGGTTTTTTTTTAACAGGAAAGTGTAAAAATAGCTATTAGCTGGTAGTTCCAAGGCCCGGTGAGCATGCCAACATTTAGGAATGCAGAGGCTGAAGTAGAGTGTTATTGTGTTTATTTGATATTGATATTAAAGATAAACAGGCTGTTGTTTTTGACAAAAAAAAAAGATAGGCTATTTTATAGGGTAGCCTCATGGAGGAAAAAGACAGCTGAGTACTGGGATAAAACTTATCCAACATTCAAAAGAAGGATTTTCATTGTTGAACATTATGTACTAAAACTCATTTAAAATGCTGAAGCAGCACTGAACAAGCCACTTAATCCCATGTAGGCATAATGAGAACTGCATTAAACTTTACATTAAGTAGATACTCTTGATATTACTTTTGCAGTAAATCAGGCATCAGCTATTATTGTTCCAAAGCTGCACTGAACACATTTTGAGAATAAGAAGTGTATTTCTAGGTGGTTTGATTTTGATGCTCAAACAAGAAGATCGATATATGATCTATCAAAAATTACTCTATAGAAATATTTGAGGCCATTAACAGTTCAAAAGGTAATTCCCAGATTGACAGAAGGTCACAGAAGCCAGAAAATTATCCAAGTTCACAGACATGCAGATTGTACTTCAGACTGATTCAGTCACCAGCAACCTGCAGAAAATCTGAGAACATGCAAATCTGAATAACCAAATGTCAGCCCTTATATGGTAACTACAATAACGTCTGTAAGTGAAGCCCTGAGCAATTCTAGACTGGGTGTTCAAACTGAGCTAATTTTCAACCAATGTAAAATACGCGTGTTATTCAAGGAGATGTACGAATTGGTCCTATAGATCTTTGTGCCATCAGTCAAGTTGGTCGTATAACTGGAAGCCTGTTATTGTCTAAACTCACTGAACTTCTCTTGAACAAACACTCTCCACAAAAGGCCTGAGAGAGGGCACAAAAGGATGTGATAGGATAAAGAGCAGCAATCCCTTTCTCCAAAATGTAGCATCCGCTGAGGAAACTCTAGAAGACAGGACCACAAAGATATGAGTGCACGACTCAGGAATGGAGGATGTTTGATGTTGTTTCCAGCATCCCCTTCTCCCAGCCCCTTCCCCTCCGACACACTCCCCAACACTGATTGAGCTGTTTGTGTTGCCTCCTGTTATTGTCGCGGGAACCCTGAGCAGTTTGCTGCCAGGGACGCCGTGTGGTATACTATGTCTGCATTCACACCAGCCCAGGTACATAAGGTATATACCTGGC